CTAAATTAAACAACAAGTAACTTGGGCCACCAATTTAATTCAATTGGGCTGAAAAATTTATAATGGGTCCAAACAAATAACATAGTTTAGGCCTCCATTATATATCAATTGAGCTGAAAATTGAATACTCATGGGGCTAGAAAATTTACAAGATTGGGCTTATTTAATAACTCAAAAAGGTTGGAATGAAGATAATGCGATTACAAGAATTTTCCGAGCGATGCGATTGACGACGAGCAATAAATTAATCTGAATTATCTATATTTATATCACGTACAATATTTTAAAATAATAATAATAATGGTAGTAAAATATGCATTTAGACAAATAATATTAATAATACCAATATTACTAATAACATATAAATAATAGCAATTTGATAATAGCAATTATCAATACTTACTCCCAAATAATCCACAATAAAACGGGGCATTACAGTCTATCCACCTTACAATGAATTCCGTCCTCGGAATTCGAAAACAAACATCTAGAAAGCACTAGAACGCAAAGGGATTACCAAAACATGGAATTTTGTACTCCCTTCGATTCTCGGTTTCTTTCTCCCAAGTCGCCTCGCCCTCGACTCGGTCGGGAGTCATCATGGAACATAAATAACTTGGCAGCAGCCTCCTCTCTTACCACGAAGCTCCCCACTTCACGTGATATAATAATGCAATTTAGCACAACAACTCCTAAAGGTAAAACCCTCCAAAGTTGCTTCACTTCATTAGTCCTTCAAATAAGACTTAGGTCAATACAACACACGTGAAAAATTCCCGGAATCAATACGCATTTACACGCCTGAGACTTGGCAGCTGTGACATGAATGGCTGGCCTGGCATGCGGCAACGCGGCACGCTACATGCGGCACACTACACACGGCACTTCCTACAACTCGAGATGCATCACCGAGCGTGGCACGCCTGTGCGCGGCACCCACACGCAGTACACCTGCACCACCCGCATCCAGTAGCTGCGGTTCATTCCTCATCAACTGTTACATCTCTCCGTGATGATACGTGCACGAATATCGGAAACTCCCAAGTGTTTTGCGACCCCAATCCCATATACAAAATTCTAATACTCCGATTTCGCTATCAGAGTGCTTATACTTCATCACAGGTCAATCGATGTTACTCACGATATTCATGAAATAGA